TTGAAAAAGCTGTAAAGACAATCTTTGTCAGAGTAGATATCAATGAAATTCAATTTAATATGAATAAAACTGAGTTAATTCATTTCTTTTCTAGATTCAATAAGAAAGAACTATTTCTAACTCTTTTAAATAGAGAGATTAAACTCAGTTTAAATATCAAATGATTAGAAGTATGGTTAAACTTCAAGTTGAATTTTAAATATCATATTCAACAAAGAACTGTCAAGGCAGAAAGACTATTAAACAACATAATCAGACTTTTAAATACAGAGAGAGATCTATTCTTCCAGGCTATAAGATAGTTATATATAGCCTGTATTATCTCAGTAGCTGATTATGAAGTTTAAGTTTAATGAAATAATCAAGAAAATGTCACTGAATGCTTTCAAAGACTGTAAAACAGAGCTTTGAGAAGAATTCTGAAAGCATTCAAATTATCTTCTATTAAAGCAATGATCATTGAAGCTTCAACTCTCTCTTCTACTATTAGATTTAAAAAGGCCTGTATGAACTATGCTCTGAGAGTTATAAAGATGAGCTCAAATCATATAATCAGAGAAAGAGTCTCTTCTTCATTTTCATTAATTAACTCTGAAAATGAACTGAATTGAAATAGATTTCTTGATCACAATGTAAATAATTCTTCAAAGAAAATGTCTTCTCAACTGTACAGACTATGCTCACTGATTAAAAAGCAATTTTCTTTTCTAAATATTGAAAAAGTTGATCATGAGAAGATATCTCTCTGAAGAGAACAGATTGAATCTCTTATAGACTTATAAATAAATAAACTATTTAAAGAGAAAGAATATGAATAGTATTTAAGAAGAATTTCTACAATTAATATAAAACACTCTATTCTGATTTATTCAGAAGCCTCAAAAAGTGAGAATTTGAATAGATTAGATATAGACATTGCTTATACTCAAGATAATATTAATTTTATCTCAGATTTCTGAAGTTTAGATTATGAATCTGAAGTCTTTGATACTGAACTATTTATAATAGTGAAAGCTTTCAAACTCATTGAAATAAAATCTTATAAAAGAGAAAATAGTTTGAAAGAGATATAAATATTCTCTAATAGTCAAGCTGCTTTAAAAAGACTTGAAAATAGTTAGATTCATAATAATCAAATGAATCTTGAACTGATCTTAAACTCTGTTTTAAAAATTCAAAAGAGAAGAATATTAAAGCTGATAATGCATCTACACTGAGTTTCTACTCATATGAATATTCATGATAATGAATTGACTGATTCAGCTGTAAAAAAGAGTTCTGAATTAAGCAGATCTATTCAAAAAATTATGTCCTGGTCTTTTATAAAGAGAAAAATAAAAGAATCTTGTTCAGATAAGTGAAATAAAAGCTAGCAGAAATAAAAGAAGAGTATATATTATGTAAGATTTGAAATACAACTCAAGTGAAAATCTTGTTCAATTAAATGTAAAAAGAAAATATTATTATCTAAAATACAGCTGAAACTAGAACATGACTATTTCAAATCTTATATACAAAGATTTGATGATAGATTTGATTCAATAGAATGCTCATTCTGCAATATAAATGAGAATGATAAGTATATTGTAATGCACTGTGCATTATACAACAGTCTCAGAGTCAGATTGAAAGAGAAGTATGATCTAAATCAATTAAATATGAGATTCTTATTCTCAACTGAGACAGGAATTAAATACTTAATAGTCTTTCTATCAGAAACTCAAGCAGCTACAAGAAAATATCTGAATTCAGAAATATCTGAAAATCAAGAGAAGGAAATTGATCAGATATATTTTGTTAAAACAGCTATATACTATCTTTTAATAATTTGTTTTGTTACAGTCTCTCTTTATTTTACTTTACTTTTTTCTTTCTATTCTTTTCTATCTATCTATTTAATATGTCTATCTTTAAGACTGTGTTCTCTTTTCTTTTGTCATGATATTGTCAAATGATTTCAAAGTATCAAAAGATGTTAAAACACTGCAATTTGTAAACAGTTTTATATTCTGAGCTGAAATTTTCTGATTTTGCATATCTGAAATTGATGAATGTATAATAGTTAACTTTACAGATATAGAAAAAACTCTGAGAACTAAAAGTTCTCAGATAGATGTCATAGTCTGTGACAGTATACATCTATAATTGAATAATAATAATAATAATAATAATAATAACACTGCTTTTCAAGAATCTTGCTTGCTTTTTCAAGTTCCTGTATTTCAAGAACTTGTTATTTCTCTATTTCTTCTTTCTTTCTTCTCTTCAGAATTTCAATCTCAGAAATAGCATTTGAGAAAGCATCTTTTTCCACATTAACTGAGTGTATTTTTGAACTCATTGTTCTCACTCAATGAAAAGTTGATCAGACTGTTTCAATTGAGATATGTATTAAACTCTTTTAAAAAGTTGATCAGACTGTTTCAATTAAGAGGTTTCTAAGTCTGTTTTCAATTGAAAAGTTGATTAGACTGTTTCAAAAGAAGAATGAAAGACTTTTGTGTATAAAACACCTGATTTTTTTCACACTAGTTCAGTAACTAGGTTAGATATTTGAAGAGAATCTAATAAACTAAAATTGCTTTTTGAGATAAATTAATAAAATCTTTACAATCTCTTTCTTGAAATACAGTGAGAAAAAGTATGATATCAATTGATAATAAATCAGATAATATAACAGTTTTTGAGAGAAAAACTGACAAAAAATAAATCAATTTTTTTACAGAGCAATTGATTAAAACTATTTAATTTTATTCTAAATCATTCAATTCTTCTCTCACAACAAGTGTGCAACTCAAATCAGTTAATAAAGAGTATAAAAAAGAATTAAGTATTAATAAAAGCTCTTCAGTCACTGAAAAAGTAATTCTTACTTAAAAGAATATGAAATTATGATAGAAAACAGGTCTGTTTTTAATTCTTTATAAGAATATTATATAAAATTTAGAGAAAAACATCTTACTTTTTTAAGAGAAGTAAAAAACTATTTCTAAGATCTTTTTATTTTTACATTAACTGCTGTAGAAGAATGAGATAGAAACTGCTAAGATATATACTACTGTATACTCTCTATCAAGACTTTTTCTCTTCAGAGTCTTAATATTATAGAGAATATAAGTCTGTTTCTATATAATAATATAAATATGATCAGCAGAATGTAGAGAAACTGATTATTTATATCTTAAAATAGAAGACTTTGTCAATGATTATATTAATATAGAGTTAATTCTTAAATTTAATAGAAATTTAGTATTGCTCTTCTCAATCTCTTACAGAATCTATTAAATATTGAGATATTAAAACTAGATTTAATATATCTCACTATACAGAGATCAAAGACTCAGTCAGATCTTAAAATATACTGAATTTATAGTTGTTGATATGCTGTTAACTTATTCTGTTAACTTATTATGTACTGATTATGTATTAAATACTGTTACTAAGATATCTTTTTATATTATTCTATTAGAGATGAGTTAGATTGAGAGAAATAGTATAAGAGTGAGACTTGATATTAATATCTAGATATACTGAAGACAGACTGCAGAGATTACACTTCAGAAGTATCTGTTAATTATATACTTAATATTATCACTGAGATATCTTTTTATATTTTTCTGCTGAAAATGAGTCAGATTGAGAAGAGTGATACAAGAGTGAGACTTGGCATTGATGTTTTGAAACATCAAAGATAGACAGAGTTTTCATGAAGATTGCTTCTCAGATATCTTCACAACTACAGATCAGAGATCTTTCAAAATCAAGAGAATTGATGCATATGACTAGATTTCTTCACCTTACAATTTGTATGGCAATTTGGCCCGGGGTTGTGGTGTGATAGGGGAGAATGGGGGATAATCTCACACAGGAGTTTCAAACAATGTCTGGTTCATGTTTGACTGAATAACTCCACTACCACACGGGGTATATGGTCAGCGATGGGGTCAAAATTCTTGTATGATTGAGGGCTTTTCAATGAATCTATCAGCGGGTTCTTATTCGAAAAATCGAGCGAGTTCGTAATCTAATGTGATTAGTAAGACTTAGTGCAGAGTAGAACTTTGTGATCTATTCAGTATAGACCTCTTACAATAATGAACTTGAATAAGAGATTAAAGATATTCTTAATCACAGATCTTACAGCTGCAGACTGCAGCTGATAATATGTTATAAAATAAGTTAATTATAAATTTATAATTATCTAATCTGAACTTCAAGCTCTGTACTATCTGAAACAGTATTTCTTAATTAATAAAAACTACATACTCACAACTCTATCACTCAAACCTGACTTTTAGAAAGAGAGAAATAATATAGTAGATTTATATCTTATTAATATATTATTTTATTACACTTTATAGATTTCTTTATAGATTTCTTCTGAAAGCTCTGATTTTCAGTCACTAATTCTTAACTAAGAAACTTATGAAGCTTCTATTCTTCTGCTCTGAACCTTTATTTCATATATATATAAATATTCACTTCAATCACTGATTCTTACATCTTCTCTTTCTTCTTTAATGCTTTTTATTTTTATTATATAAGTTCTATATTCAATACTGATCTTTTCAGTGTAAACTTATTATAAAATATAATTTAGTAATAAAGCTTTCAAATACTTCAGAAAAATATTCACTAGAAAAGCTTAAGTATGAAGAATTATTATTAATAGTAACTAACTTAATGAATAGAATATAAAATTATAAACAGATATAAAAGTAAGATTTTAATAAATTTATTATATTGAATATTATACAGAGTACTTGTTTTCTTTTATTAAATTCTTATTACTATAAACTTTAATCAGATGTTTTCTTTTTTACTTTTTTACAATATAATACATTTTCTGCAAGCTTCTTCTAAGTAAGAGATAGTATTATTAATTATTAAACTCTCAAATATATCAGTATAAATAACCTAAGATGATTTTAACATCTGATAGACATATTTAAATGAAAGAGTAGTTAAAATAATGATTATATTCATAAGAAATCCTGAATTGACCGTGTTTGTGCACAAAGCAGGCCTTATAACCTGTGGAAGGTGTAAAGCTTGCTTGATTGAAAAGGTTACTAGCTTGTGAGAAGTTATATGGTGGAAGGATTAATAAGCCAGAACATGTGACCTGACATAATATTCATATGTATTTTCACTCTATACATGGCGTCAAATAGTTCTTCCATCTATCTATCCATTTATTCATTCATCAACCAATCAATCGATCAATGCTCTTCTCCCACATTTATACTCCTAACTAAAATGACTATCAGTGATGGATAGGATAGATGGGACATAGGGAGATAGTGACTTTAAACGCAGCGTGGCGCATCATATAAAGGTTGGGGGTTGGGGGTTAGGGGTAATGGGTAATGGGTAATGGGTAATGGGTAAGGGATAACGGAAAACAACGGGGTATATATCGAAAGGGCGAAAAATGAAAACATGACGGTATGTATAGACATGCAGGTGATGTATATATATCTAGGAAATTGAAAGACAAATGACATTAATATAGATTTGAGGCAAGGTAGATAGGGTAGGGTAGGGTAAATGAGACGGTTTAGCGGATGGAAAACAAAACCGAGCATACATCAGGCGTGGCCGAGAAAAAAACAGGTAATTCGGACATTAATTTGGCGACGTCAAGAAAATACTCAAAGGAACTTTAGCTCAAGGGGATGATGAAGCGGGCAGATGATACATTAGTGCGAGTCTTATTTTACTCTTGAAAGCACCTCTGCCTAGTTTAGTACATATATTATCATAACACCCAACCGAAATTAACATATATTGCCATCTCAGATATAAATTGAGATGTAAAAAAATTAAGAGATAACATAAATATATCCTTGGAAGAAAATCCATTCGTTGTTTTGATTAAATCGCCTCAGTAAATCGACTAGTACGACTACCATCGGAACTAGCTATACTCCTTCCTATCGCATCTTGGACAGAAACCCGTCGATGGACAGGTAATCGTGGTAGCGACTGATGTGGCGGGGGGTGCAGAGCAATTGAGCCAGGGGCACTCAGTGTCGTCGTTGTGGTGACATCCGCTGAACTGGTTAGCGGGGTTCGCGCGGGTGACGGACGGAAAACGACATGTGCGGAAGAGTCACTCTCTTGAGAGGGTGGTCGGCCGAGTGGCGGGGTGTGGAGTGCTTGTGCAATCGGTGACGCACTTCGCGATATCCGGATGCGAGAGAGGGTTGGTCGGGGTTGAAAGCTTGAGGAAGACGGAGGGATAAAATGGGAGCTCGTTGTCCGCGAACCGGTCTCTTTAGCCACAGCACCAGCAGCAGAGGTCGTCTCGTAATAGAGTTTCTCTCCATTAACGCCGAAAGGGTCGTCATATCCATCACCACCAGATTCTAGCACTGATGTGATTTTCCTCCCTGAGACTTTCTGAAACCCTCGTTCGCTGCTAGGTGGTGGTTCGAAACTCCTGGTGGATTGGTGGGAATTTCTCCATTTGCTGAAGAGAGCTGCGGCGCCTAAAGTACTTCCTCCGCTAACAGAGCGCTCCGACATCAGTCCTTCCACACCTGTATGTAATATTGCAGCTGTTCCTTGGTCCTCTGCCGTGAGACCGCCGGAAGGATCAGTTTTTCGTTTCCGGTTTCGCAGAAGTAGGAGGGCCACTGCTATAAGTAGAACGATGCCGGCAACCCCACCAACCACACCACCAACAACTTTACTTGTCGGGACGTTGGAAGAGCTGGATGCATCAGCAGGACTACCGCCTGCAAAAGTAGGCATACCACCTGGGCTGGTGGTGGCAGTTGGGTCTCCGCCCCCGCCTCCACCGCCTCCTTCACGGCCGCCGCCAAAACCACCGGCATAAGTAGTAGTCTTTAGAGCAGATTTTGAGCTTGCCGCAGAACTCGATGAGGTTGACGCCGTGCTGCTAGTAATTGATAATGATGGGTATGTCGATGATGTCGAAACCAATAAAGCGGATGACGATGGTAAGATTGGTAGGAATGTATCAGAAAAACTGGACGTTGTGCTTGGCAACAGCGGTTGCGATGACTCCGATGGTAAAAGCCCGATGTGGGCTCCAGGTGGTATCGATACCGACGAGGTAGTGCTAGTTGAAATAGGCAATACAATGAAGGTGGGTCGCCTGACATTCTCAGTAATGGATGTTGATGATACTGATGAGGGAGAAGGCGCCGGGAAATCCGCCACTGGGCTAGAGGTAAAGGTAGAGGTAGAACCCGAGAGCGACATATCGGTAGTTGATGTGGGCAAGTCGGAAGATGGGGTGCTAGAATCGGGAATAGATGAGGTAGGATCCGTTGGGGAATTAACAGGAGGATCACTGGGGGTAGGCTGCGGGGTTGCTCCGTTTCCAGGAACACTAGAATTAGGCTCAGAAGTTGCAGGCGAGGGAGTAGGGCCGATTGGGGCATTGTTAGGTGGAGCGGTGGGCACAACGCTTGGGGAATTGGTCTCTGCGAGAATGGTGACTTGTCCTAGATCGGAGTTCGATATAGTCGCGGGTAACGTAGGGACTGTGAACTTCCCAACCGTAGATCCATTCTCGAGAACAACGTGAATTACAGTTGAAACAACAACATCTGCATTTCCAGAGCCTCCTTGGGCTTGACGTGCTCGTAAATCGTTTAGATTCGAACGCCCCAGAAAACGTCCTCTTTCGTCAACTTTCACAACCGCGGCAGTGATTTCATCAATGTTCTCATATGGCTCCAACGTAGCTTCCCTATCGCCCCTGGGTCCGTCTTTGTGTCCGACAGCTGCCCCAACAAGTGCATTTCCTGCACCCAAAGCCGACCTGACTTTCAGATGTGCACCATTGTGCCTCCAGCGTCTCCTCCCATGATGACCCATATCTGTGAGCTTGAAGCTCCTAGCTCTCCCCTACGCTAACCTGCCGAAAAAAAAATCCTTTTTTCTTTATCCCTTTCCAAATTCGTCCGGTTCTCGGTTTCTCCGTTTTTTCGTTTAGTAAAAGAATCAACGAGTGAAATAATCGTCGTTCAAGATATGCGCATTAATTGTCGCTAAGCAAAGTAATGGGCCGCAGGAAGGAAGCCAGTCCAAAATGGTATCCCACAAGTGGGCAATAAAAAGTAATAGTGAAGAAAAGTGATCAATCCTAAAAAAACAGCTAGGACCGCCTAGGGTCGCGTCCAAGAAACGAAGGTGGATCTATGTACCGACTCCCTGTGACGAGATGGCTAAGTCGTGTAAAGTGAACGATGGGAAATGAGCTGATCTCAGTCTTCCTGGACAAGATTGCGCATTGAATGCGGTATAAGGGAGCGTGAGATAATATATCCGATTGAAGCAATGCGTGATATATCGGCCTGGCTAAAGGGATACAAGAAAAGGGAAACGAGAGCGAATGGATTGCTTCAAGCAAGACGTAATTGAATTCGCGTGCTTGTATTTACTATTTCGCGTTGGGGCGAGCAAATCGTCTAAGCGGACTAGAAAAAACAGGAAGGAGTGGATGGCGGTCGGCTGGAGGAACGAAATGAGAGGGCCGCGACAGGATAGTATCGTCAAAGTTATTGAATGAAAGAATGGACGTCAGTCATCAGACTGACGAAGTTGCATGTGGATTGGAAAAATGAGCGCAAGGCCCTTTGGAGAAACGAATGACTGTAAGGCCCACGCATCGCGGTCAGCGAACATAAACAAACCCCAAATGGCGTGACGAAAACGCGACTTTAGGAGGGTACTACCGATGATAGGTGTTGCATCCACCTGATTAACAGATAAGCTGGGTTTGAAAAGAACGAGACAAATATCAGAGTGCGAACAACGTTGTCGTTGACAAAAGTCCGCTGATCACACCACAAATGCAGACAGAAGCGTTTGCTGTCAGTTCGAAATCTGGGGCGGAAAAGAAAAGTCTTTTGTGTGTTTTGCGGCAAACGACAGGCTTATATTTAATATTTAATATTCTAATTGGGTTATCCCAGGCAAACCACGCTTCGGCTTCTTATTCCTCAATGCAAATCATCCTGCCACAGGGGCAAGGCGAAGAAGAGAAACTCCAGAGACGGGGAGAAGTGACGAGAGCACTGAAGAGAGAATTCTAAAAATCGAAAGGAGAGACAATTGTCTGCTGTAGACACACAGAGGAAGCGTGGTGCGGTCGTTATCGTGCCCTCGTCCTCGTCGTCGTTCCACAGTGTTATTGATGAAGGTTGGGCTGAAGAAGAACTGTTCGAGGAAGAATTGAATTGAAAAGCAGGAGTTAGCCTCAATTAGACTGGCTTAGCGCGGATTTCGCCCGGAAGTCAGAAAAGGGTTAAGTGGGCCCAAATAACGGTGTGCCAACACCACTAAACGGATGTCCACGCTGTCGATTGGCTGAGGGTTCCAAAGGCTCCATAACATCGCGGGTTAGTCACCGATGATTGGTTGATTGCCCCTCCCGCCAATGCTCAAGGCCAGGATAGTTTGATTAGATAATCCGGGTCGGGCGAAACAAACAAAGCAGAAGCCTGCGCCACTCTGATCTAGCCCGCCGTGCTGAAATTACGGAGCTCGTAGATGTGAAGGAATGGCCAAGACACTTGTACGGCACTTCCGACACAGCGCTCTTCTGGCTGGAGGACATTGTCGCTTGCTGGTATTCGACGCACAGCAAGATTCCACGGAGTGTTTATTCGACATGTTTCAATCTTGCTATACGTTGTGGAAACGTTTTGGGGCTTGCCCGCAAGCCTCCACACATAACTCGTCCCCAGCCTTTTCAGCGTCAGAAACTGCTGATCCACCCATTGGGCGACTGTGAAGAATGTTTCACTCACTCCCGGCTTTCGGGGACTTGGTTTTCTCGTGCCGAAAGAAAGCATAACCAGGAAAAACGCCCGAGGCCTCGTCCCCACAGTTCCAAATACTTTGCAATCCGTCCTGCGCCCGAAAATACTTCTGTATCGCAGCGTAGCCTGGAAGGCACAACAGCTGTGATTTATATTTGATTTTATCTTATTCTTTTCGATAGACCATTCTTGCGTCATAAAGTTCAATTAAATTTCACTGATCAGCTGAGTGTCGGATTTTAGTATCAGACACCAACAACTACTGAACACAGGGGCAGAAAAGCGCCACAAGGGAAAAATATGCCAAATTAAACACACACTTTCGGACATCAAAGATGGAAAAAAAACTCCGGCACCCGCGCTATTTTAGTGTCTTTGTTTACGGTGAACCCTATTAAACTACAAATCTACTTCTATCATCATTTGCCTCTCGTACATGTACGTGGACTGACTCCTAAACAACAAAACACCAGACCGTTGTCTCAAGCGAACCGCATATAAAAACTTGCTTCTGAAAATATCCTGTCTGTCAAGGAAAAAAAATGCCGTTTTCACGGTATTTCATTGTGGAAATGTCAAGCTATGCGGGGTAAAATCCACGAAAGTTTAAGTAGGCTATCATACACTTCCAACGGATAACGTCATGATAGCCGTGCACAGATATAAAACACCACCAATGGGTGACAACTGCCAACCCGCATAACGGGCCGCTCCTCCTCCTGTCTAACCCTTTCCTCACAAACCTCACCCTCTGGGATCCCATCCTCCCAACCCTCCACGCCCACATCGGCGTCTCTCTCGGCGCCGCCACGCGCCTCTACCTGGCCACCGCACACCCAGGCCTCATCCAGCGTCTAGTCGTCTGCAGCGTGCCACTCTGCGCACCCATAAACGCCGGCATGGAGGACTAGTATGCGCCCCTTGTTGAGATTGCGCGGATCAATGCTGATGCGATTTGGATTCTGACGGAGAGGACGATGGAGAGGTGGTTTGGCGCGGAGTGGCGGAGCTGGAATTTGTATGGACATGGACGTGGACGTAGGGCTGAGTGCGCTGATGCGGACGACGACGCGGGAAGGGTTTATAGCGTGTTGCAATGCGTTGAGAGATCGGTCGTTTGATTTGAGGCCCTTGTTGGCGCGGGTTGCGGGGGCTGCGGGGGCTGTGGAGAGGGTGATGTTTGTGGCTGGGGGAGCAGATGGGGAGTTACCGGATGTTATGTGGATGAGGTTGTGAGGGGATTTGAGAAGGAGAGGGAAAATGGGGAATAGGGGAGACCGTGGCGAGGGTGAGATCGGAGAGAAGGTCGTTGAGTGGGCGGTTATTGGGGGGGCGGGACATTTACCGATGATCGATCACAGGAACAGGTTTTGGAAGCGGGTGCTGATGTTTTTGAAGAGGTGAGATGCAGATGGGACATAATTTTCTCTTCCTGTTTTCTTTTCAGTTATGAAAGCTGTTTTCCGAATAATGACCAACCTTTGATATCTGTACAGTAGTCTTGAAAAGGATGTTCATAGAGCTTGGGGATAGTTAGCTTTCTTATATACAAATTTTACATACAGCACATCACATTTTTCATGTAGATATATCACTATGATTTTGGTGAGATATGTTACTTAACATAATTAACATCCTTCATGCCCCACCAAATGCAGGCTTTTGTGTTTACCTATGTAGTTATTTTTCACCTCAATGTTCTATTCGCGCCTAATGTTCAGAGATCTTGATCAATCCTTCTTTATATTACCATAGTAATTTAGCTTGGTCATCAACAGAAGCTAATCATCTTCATAGATCTTGCAACATCATATTGACCAGGAGGAAGCGACCCACAGCAACCTCCACTCTACTTCAATACCCCACCCCCGCCCCGCTCCCTCCCCCAGAGATCTGAAAATCCACACCCGCCTCATCTTTACACCAAAAGTCATGAAAATAATCAACTTTGAAAAATTCATAGATCAATTTCTTAATATGAAATACTAATGTTTTATACAATTGATTAAACTTTATCTCAGCATGCTCAGCCTCTCTTCTCGATATTTTCGGATTAGCGCAACCAACTAAACTCCTTTAGACTTCTGCCAAGTCCTGCTAACTTCTGGACCAATAAGAGACTTCACATGTGCTCACAACCTAATATCTTGTAGAGAGTCTGAGAAGAAACAGTTTCATCATATATGAAAAATCAACTTCACTCATACAAAATATTCAATTGACTTTGAAATCATACATCTACTCTAAATATCTGCCTGATCATCATCAAACTGATATTTTTTGAATTCTCAGTCATTCTGCTATCATCTCTGCTATTTTACAACTCACTATCTCTTCTCATCATATCACAATCATTGACAAAAGACAGTGTGTCTTTTGAATCTCAAGACACTCAATGTCAGACACACTTCAGTTAATATTCTTCATCACTTAAAGATGAATTCTCTCTACAATCACTACAGTCTCTCAACAATGTAGATGATAAATATAATACATCAGACAGTGACTTAACAGAGCTTGAATCTATTGATACTTCTTCAGAATTTGAGATCACTGATACTGATACTGATACTCTGTGAGCTTGTTCACAATCAAATCACTGTGGCTCATAGCATCTGTCTATAATGTCTTATAACTGGCAGAAAAGACAGTTAAAATTATCTCATGTTGTCAGAACATTACAGTAAAACAGTTGAGAAATGAAGATCTTTATAGAGACTTAGATTCAGAGTTCTGATATCTTGACTCATTGATAATACAGTACTTCTACAAAGCAGTGAAATACACTATATTCAGCACTTTTCAAAGCAGAAATATTCAATGATAATCAACATTATACTGTCTTACTTAAACAGAAGCTGAAATGTCTTATTAATACTCTCTTCTTTGTAAAATTCAATCATAATTCTGATCTGAATATCATTGACTTTCAGACTGCTTTTGAGATTATTCAGATCAATATATTAATCTGATTTGATCTACTTACTTCTGTTCTAAAAAATAAACACATCAATTGAAAGAGCTATAAATGAGACTCAGATGAAACAACAGCTATTAAACAGCTGTTTATTATTATAAATATTATATGTTACTCTTATTTCTTGAAAAACTCAAACTTCTTCAGCTCTATTCTCTCTGCATATTTTCATGACTCAGAAGTAAAATAACAAGTGATAGAAATCATTTCTGACTTTGAACTCTGTCACAGCTATGTGATGAAAAATAGATTAATAATGAAAATTGCTAAATGAGAGAAGATATAACTTAATATTCTTAACTTATTAATATTTCTATCTAATATCTCAAACTTCTAGTAATCTCTGATAACATCTGTCATTTTCTGACATGTTCTTTGAACTTCTATCAACTTTTGATTCAATCACTTGACTAATTCTTACTGTTAGATTAAACTTCAGCAGCTTGTCAAAGATTCTTGAGCTGTTATAGTCTATGATAATATGAACTTCAAGAAGACTGTATAAGATGAGACAATCAGATACAATGATTCTATGACTGCTGTGACTACTACTACTGTGATTATTTCTCCTGATATTTCAGAAACTGATCTAACTCAGATCATGCATGATTTCATAAGACTGCTAACACTGCAAGAAATCATTGATGCATCTGATGTGACAGACAATGATAATGAGCTTCAGAAGCAAATAACATCATGTCTTATTTCAGATGCTGTTCAAAAGATTCATGATGATGAGATTAAAAGTGTTTTCAGTACTGTAAATAATTTATTATCTCAAATGTCTGTTATTAATACACTTTCTGTGCATAGAACATGTTTTCAGCAGTTGAGTGCTATTTTTGAAAATGAGAACACTATTGTGAGAACTATGAGAGTTCATGAGAAGATATTTAATGATTTTCTTGATTTATCAAGAGATCATACAGCATTTTCAACTCATCTCTTTCCAGTGTATGAAGATGCTTTGATTACAAAACTCATTCAATCAGTCAAGATGAAGCAGTCAAAATCTACAGATATTTTTAAACAGTATAACTGACTTCATTCTATTTCTGAATAATTTCATATTCAAATGAATCTACTCTTCATCATTATTCATACTCATTTTGAAGCTGAAGTCTCTGAGAAGACTCATCACTGTATTCAGTCTGATCTCACTTGTTGAAACTGAAATTCTATGACTGCTGTTAATCTGAAATATTATCTTCTTAAGCCAGTGATTTCTCAGAGCTTTGCATCTCAAAGTCTTGCTCTATTTTATACTGCTATACAACATTGAGGTTATTCAGTTAGTAATCTTGAGTACTTAGAAGATATTGATTCTATTATACAACAGCTTAGTTCTTCACAGTATCTTCAGCTTATTGAAGATGTATACATCAAAGCATTTACTCTTGATGCCTGAAATGAAATTGACTCTTAAATCTCTCAGCTCACTCAAGATATTGAATTCTGTATCATATATTATCTTCTCTGAGAATGTGAATTATTCATTCAAATACACTATGCTGTTAAGCATGATGATATTGAACTTCTTGAGTACTTCATTTCATCTCTGATTATCTTCTTTCTTGATGCTGATCAATATAATTATGTTACTAAGATACTTCATTATTTTTGAATACTTTAATTCATTAAAATTCCTTCTCTGTATTAAGTGATTATAACTGTGAGTCTTATCAACTGATCTGGAAAACTCAGCTCCTTTAAAGCAATTGATCTAGACATGGAACATCTCAATGATAGCTGTAAGCTGGAGATGAAATGCTATAAAAATTCAATAAAGAATATCTATCTTATATTTGATTGAGTCTGTCTATCAAATACATGAGTTCATCAGCTACAGTGAATTTTAGAGTCTATCTTTAGATGTTCACTTACTAAGGAATATATAAGTGCTGTTACTAAGCTTGAGATATTCTCTACTGTTAGAAGTCTGTTGAAGAATGATTATATCTCATCTTAAGATTTACTTTTACTGTCAAAGAAACATATGTTTGACTTCTTGAATATACTTTTGATTGAAGTGAAAGATCTAAAGAAGAAGATTAAGCACTTTAATCAAGTATAAATTCAGCAGCAGTTGATTGCAATGAACTTGAATTTAAATGATATAATTATTAATACTGAAGTTGAGTCTTATTCTGAGGAATTCAATAATAATATAGAGCAAGATTCTATTTTC